GTAACGTTAGAATTTTATATATATAGTAGGGTGATCGATTATTCGACATTTTCCAAAAACCGGTTTTCGAATAGTTCGAATAGCTGACATTAAAAAAAACCGGTTGATATTTTTCAAATTCAGAAAAAACCGGTTAACCGGTTTTTTTATAAATAAAAAAAAATATATTTTAATTTGAAAAACTTAATGTTCATGTTTAAATTTGATTAATAAAACATGGCCCGAAATGATTTTTAACAGTTTAAAAGATTATAACTTTAGATCTAGTCGTCTGATTTACATTATTTCTATAATATAAAAAAATTAGGAAAAAATTGGGACACTTCTGTTATACATAAGGTACTATGTAATCCTAGCTTATTTTAAAAGCCCTGTTTAGGAAATCCGTATAGGCATTCCAACACTTCCATAAAATTTCAGCCGTAAATTAATTATTGTAATTGGAATATAATCTTAAGATTGATAAAATTTTATCAAACAGTTATCAGTTTTACAAATTATTTTTTTTAATTAATTAGGAAAATCAAAAAAGTTTAACGCTAGTTCCTCGACTCGAATATTTTTAAAATTTAGACGGGCTGTATTATTATTTACTTAAAAATTTCATTTAAATAATCTTTGAATACAAAGCAAATAAAAGTATTCGAAACCGGTTTTTAAAAAATGAAAAAACCGGGTTATTCGATATTCGAAAAATCAACATTAAGAAAAAACTGACACTGGTAAAGCAGAAAAAACCGGTTTTAAAACCGGTTGAAAAATCGAGTCGATCACCCTAATATATAGATTATAGCAATAACAAAACGAACAACAACAACGCTAAACGAAATAAACACACACAAAAACAAAATACACAAGGCAGTAAAACCAACAGACATCCGAACATACGAAACGAAATACACAAAGAAACAAAAACAAAATACACAACGCAACGAAACCAACTGACATCCAAACATAAGAAACTGAATACATCAAAAAACAAAAACAATATACACAAGGCAATGAAACATACGAAACGAAATACTAAAAAAAAGCAAAAACAAAATACACAACGCAATGAGACCAACAGCCATCCAAACATACGAAACTGAATGCACCCAGAGATACAAGCCGATGGGAAATGATCGGCGGCGGCGGCGCAACCATTTTGGGTCGGAGGCGGCTAAATTGTCGGCTCAATTTAACTTTTTCTTTAGAAATTGACCTTATAAGGTTTATTATATTGAAAAATCTTTGTATAATAGTCTGTTACATAGAAACCTGTCTCTATATAAGTTTTTTTCTGCAGAAAATGGACATTTATAGTAGTTTTCACTATTTTAATATTAGCACAATATTGTGTGGCAACTCTTTTCAATTTGCCATAAGAATTTAAAATAGTGGCAACTCCGTTCAATTTGGTGAAATTATGTTCTGAAATACATGTGTGATTGTAATCTTTATCAGCGGCTACGTTTAAGCCAGCTTAGCTTTTGAGCCGAAAGAAGTCGGCGGCGGCGCGGCTTGCAAAATATTACCGGCGGCCAGCCGCCGCCGATTTGAGCCGTCTCGGCTTGTATCTCTGAATGCACCAAAAACAATATACACAAGGCAATGAAACACACAGCCATCCAAACATATGAAACGAAATACTCAATGAATAAGCAGTGTTGTTGTTGTTGCTTATATCAAAGCATGAAAAAAATTGTCTTTTTTATGAAATTTTCAGAGGTTGTCTCGGATTTTTGCTCATATCTCCGGTATTTATTCACCGATTTTGCTGATTTTAAATAGCGATCTTCTCGAAAGCATGTCTAACAGAATTACTGAAGATTCGGATCTCGCCGATCTGGGGTTCTCTAAAAACTGATTTCAACAAACACACAGACGGACAGACAGATTTTTTTTATTATTGGGGTATACATACATTTATGGACATATTTGATACTTGCAAATATAAATACAGTTAAAAATTAATAAAAAATCGCAAATCAACTAAATAACTTACTTATATGAAGAAATCTTCAGTACCAAGAATACACAATTAAAAAAAATAATATAATAAAAATTTAAACACTAAACAATTAAATTTTCAATGGCTCCTCAGAATCATCAATGTTCTTTTTGCAATCAAAAACAACTTAATGTTAAATTTATTGTATGTGGACAGTGTAATAATTATTTTCATAGAAATTGTGCACAACAACAAAACCCTAATTTAACAGATGCAACTATTGATGGAATTTTAAAAAGTAAAGGAAATACATTCTTTAAGTGTAAAGATGCATCCACTAATAACACTAAAGATAATAACATTGCAAAGAAGTTGGATGACTTAGAAGCAAGTATTAAACATCTGTCTAAAATAGTTGCTGAAGATATAATGACTAATCTCAAAGACATTAAAGTGGAATTCGCCATGAAATTAAAAGCGATAGAGTTGGAAGAAGATAACTTAAATCTACGGAGACAAATTAATCATCTTCTGTACAGAGCGGATATTTTAATAAGTGGCCTTCCCGCTACATTGTCGATTGAAGAGTTACACAATGCTGTTTTTAAAATAGGCCAGTTTCTGGATGTCCAAATAAGCCACGTTGACGTTAATTCTTGCACATTCATAAGACAAAAAAAGGCTGTAAAACTCAACAGTGTATATAAAAGGGATCAAATCATGAAAAATTATTTTGGTGTTCGAGTGATAAAACTTAATGAGATATTGCCGACTGATATTGAATCGAGAATATATGCCTGATGACACTACAAAAGTTTTAAACTTTGAGAATCTGCGCGAGTTCTTCAAATCAAAATTGAAACCAAGTGATGATGTTCACCTGCCTGCAGTTGATTAATTTATAAATTACTGTTTTTTTTTTTGTTCTGCATGATCTTATGTACTTTAATTTTAATCTCATATTTTCTTCATATTTTGTACAATTTGTTAAGATATATATTTTTATTCTTTTTGCATGCTATGTATTTACCAAAACATACGAATTACCTTTGGTTTTCTTTTTTGTTAAGTATAAATGCAGTTTTCTAAGTTATTTAAATAAAATTCGATATGTATTCCCAGAATATTTAAACCTATTGTGTCTCTTGATAAATTTTAAAGTAATATTTAATAACTGATATTTAGAATTTTTTTGGATTGTTAATAAACCTAAATTAATAAAAGTTTTAAGCTATTTGAATATAAGTTTTATGTCTTAATACAAATATGGGTCGCGTCTTTTTCTGTTCTAAATGAAATTTTATTTGATTTATCTTCAAGATTCCACCATGTAATATTTATGGGTGATTTTAATATAAATCTCTATGACTGTAATAACCTCATGCGGCCGTTTTGTTCTTCTTCCAATCTTCGTTTGGTTCATAATAGTATGCCGACACACTACAGCATGCGCTATGAGACTTGCTCCTTGATTGATTATTTTTTTGTATCTCGTATAGAATATGTGTGTGCTAAGGGGCAATTTCAAATACCAGCAATTAATTCATATCATGCTGCTGTTTACATTTCTTACGATATACAGTGTTCAAAGGGACCTGATATTATTAGGATACGGGACTACAGAAATTTTAATATCTCACAATGTTTTGAAAGTATAGATAGGGAAGATTTTAGCCCAATTTATAATACTAATGATACAAATTTCCAGGCTAAATTTTTTTGTGAGAAACTATTAACATTGTTTGACCAGTACGTACCTCTTCGAACCATTAAACAAAAGAAAAATGCTAATTGGATGGAAAGCAGTGGAATAAGGAAGGCAAGGGAAAGGAGAGATTTCTCATTTAGGTCTTATATGGAGGCAAATGGTATTTATCCCCATTACCAAATTCGCCCTTGGTCTTATATACTCAACAAGCAAATTCCATAAATAATGTGTTTACTTTTAGAAATGTATATATGACTGAAGTTTGGGAAGCTCTTTTAAATATTAAATCCAAAAGTATTGGACCAGACGGCATACCTCTTAAATTTCTAAAGGTTATTTTTCCGAGTATTTCGGCGCATTTGACACATATTTTTAACTCAATACTTACCTCGTCTACGTATCCTGATATTTGGAAATGTTCAAGAATAACTTTAGTTCCCAAGGTCAAAGCTCCATCTTCATGTTCTGACTTCCGGCCGATTAACATTATTTCAGTTTGTTCAAAAGTGTTAGAGATTTTAATGAATAAGCAGATCACAGAATATATTAATAATCGTAATTTTTTATCTGATAATCAATCCGGGTTTAGAAAGGGTCACAATACGTCCGCTAAAGTTATGGATATTGTGGAAGGAGTAAGAGTAGCTTTGGATCAAAGAAAGCTAGTATCATTGGTAAGTCTTGACTTCAGTAGGGCTTTTAAGTCCTTATCTCATGAAGTTTTGTTGAACAAGCTTTTTCAAAGGTATAACTTTTCAATTACATCCTGCCATTTAATGGATAGTTTTATTAGAGGTATATCACAATTTCTTCTACAAAATATGTTAACCGTGGTGTACCACAGGGGTCCGCTTTGGGTCCCCAATTATTTTTATTATATATCAACGACCTGCTAGATCAATTATCAGGACTAAAGACATATCTTTATGCAGATGATTTGCAATTAGTCGCAGTCTCAGAGTCGGTCAGTGGATTGGAATTGATTATTAATTTGAATCTTGAACATGTAGCGGCTTGGTGTACAAATAATTTCATTATATTAAATTCTCAAAAGTCAAAAGCAATGTATTTCGATAACTTTAATTCTCATATTTAAATGTTTTAGGAATTTTTATTGATGGAAATTAATCTTCTTTAATCATATAAACTTTGTAATATCGAGAATAATTTTTATTCTTAGAAAGTTATATGCTACTAGTTACCATTTGCCAATTAAAGTGAGGAAGAGTATCGCACACGCACTGCTTATGCCCTTAATGTTATATGGTATTGAGATATATTCCTTAACAACCCTGTCGGATAATGTGTAGCTGACTACAAAAATAACTAACTTTATGTTAACTTTTATGAACTAATTTTAAGCTATCTACTACGCAATGCAAAATTTGCGTTAACCAAAGTGTATATTCTGTACAGTAATTTTTTTTTCTTTTGGTTAGTTGTTCGCGTTTGTTTTTTATTTGGGTTTTCCCCTTTTAGTTTCATATTATTATTTTGAAAGATACCAAAGTTGATTAGAAGTAAAGCGCCTACAAGAATGTTTTATTCAGTACGTAACGTCGGTTGAGCCGTCAGTATAAAATGTATTTGCGTATACATATCTTCGTTTTTATATTTATATCTACATACATATGCAACTAAAGGATTACAACAACAGATAGTCTAACAATATGTCAAAATTGTTCATGAGTAAGTTGAACTCCGACTATTTTAGGAGTTAAATATATATGTTTAATACATATTATATAATCAATAATAATCTGCAATTAAATATGTTCTTATTAAATATCAGCTTCATTCAGTTTCATGCAGCACCGGCCATTGTCGCCGCTAACCTGTTGACGCCGTCGAGTTCAGTTAACAGCTTCGACTTTTGATTAGTAAACATTCTCGCGAGTGATATCGAAGTTTTTCTTAAAGATATATATTATTGTTTAATTTAAAAGATTTTAAGTGTGGTAAAATAAAATATAAATTAAAATATAAATATAAATATATAAATATTGTGTGATTGCTTTAATTTTAATTACAAGTGTTATTTGAATTGTTAAGCAAACATGAAAAGTGTTAGCAAAAGGCATATGAGGAGGCTTTTTAAAAAGGAAAGAATTTTATATTCCAACAAACTACTGTTGTGTAATGTAGCACAGTCGGAAGACTCAAACCCATCTGTTGGAGTATCGTGCACAAATGAAGTTGATATTCAAATGGATGACATTATTAACATTCCTGATGAACAATGCGTAGACAGAAAATCATTAAATGAAATAAATAGAAGCATTAGTGAAGAGAATCGTGAAGCTTATGTGAGTTTTCTGATCGAATACCCAAATGTATTCATATGTATTTATATAATTACTTTATTACTTTCTGTAGATAAATACAATGAAGTCACTATTGAAGGGGCGCCTACCGAAAACATTAACTGAAATAATATCAATAAATTTGTGCATGGACATAAATTTGGATGGAATTCATGGCAAAAGAAGATTAAAAGACTTCGAGGTTTTCTTTCACACCTTGACAGGTAACTTAAAATTTTTAAATTTATATATGTATGCATGTATTCTCAAAAAGCAAATATTTACTTTCGTATATTCTAAACAGATGCCTGTCGAACACTTGGGTCTCAAGATGTTGAAAAGGACATACGAAACGCCTTAAAAATAATAAAAAAATGTGCTATTCATGCGCAGTGCATTAAAAATAAGAAACAATTAAAAAATTAATTGTAACAAAAAACATTTAATCGAATATTTTTTATTTAAGTAATTTGAGTAATCTTTTTTTAATGTTTTTGAAAATCGTTCCTTTAATTTTTCCAAAGATTGTATGCATTTACCTTATAACAATAATATAATTTTATTTTTATGTATAGTGAAGTTTTTATAAAATTATTTTTTTTAAATTACAACAAAACATATTAAAATTTTTTATGTATTTATGTGTTTTTAAACAATCAAAAAATAATATATTTGGCGTATTCAAACGGTCTGCTATTAGGTCATATTGTCATAATGTTCTAATATATTATTTTAGTTTAAAAAAGTTTTTGCTGTGTTTCAAACAAAAAAGTTCTAAACTAATGAGACTTTTTGAACTATGTCATAAAATAACATTTATTTTGTTTGCAGTACATCAACAATTTGTTTAAACTAAAATAATATATAGGACATTATGACAATATGACCTAATAGCAGACCGTTTGAATATCCCAATTGTTTGTATGTATATTTATGTAAATATGTGCATATATGTATCATAGTGATTTTTTATATAATTCTTGAAAAGAGTCCATTTAACTTTTTGCAAAGTTATTTATGTATATACCTAAAAATAATCAAATATTTATTGTATATTTATGTAAATACATAAGTAATAGTGGTTTTTAATAAATTTTCAAAAATTACAACAAAACATTTTTGTATTCCGAATTAAAATTATTTATTCAAAATGTGACAGCTAGCTGAATAATAGTTAGTTTGCAGCTAGCTATAAAAAGTTAGTTTTCAGCTAACGTGTAAACAATCAACTTTTAGTTGATTTAAATCTAACTAACTTGAAGTTAATTTAAAAAAACCTACTTATAGCCAACTTAAAAACAGTTAGGTTACAGCTAGCTTCAAAAAATTAACTGAAAGCTAACGTTTAGTAAGTTAACTTTAAGTTAGTTGAAAAGTAATGCTGAGTCGGACAACTGACTACTGCCTAGGACATCACAATGTTAAAATAGTTAGTTGTTTCAATTGAAAAGTAATCCAAGTGTCAGTCAGTACTAGTTGCGAAATAGTTAGCTTTAAGTTAATTTAAAGTTAACCCAGTTTCCGACAGGGAAGCGATAATAACTTTTGCAGATTGAAGAAATGTTTTAATAGTATTGTGAGATATGTGTATCATCTTAGATCTCATGATCATATAACAGCGCATGTAACTGATTTTTTAAACTGTACTTTTGATGATTTTGTTAAAGTAAAGTTACCTACACTTTTTTATAAAACCTTCATATCTTACATCAAGATTTGAATTTTTGAATTCGGCTAAAACATCCTCACTCAGTTTTAATTTGTTGGTTATAAAAAGATCATTTCATTTGAGAGTGGCTCGGTTATGGAATGCTATTATACCATATAGCGAAAGACATTTTTCCAAGTCCGTTAAACAATTTTCTAGTTTTGTAATGGATCATATTTAGACTATGTGTTTCATTGTTATCACTAACATGTAATTATTAACAGTTACATTTAGAATAGACCCAAATTTGTATTAGGGAATAATTAACATTTATATAAAATAATTATTAATAAATATTAATATATAAGTTTGAATTGTGCTTACAATATATTTATCTAGTAATCAATTTTTGGCCTGTAAGGAGGCTTTAGATTACTTTCAATAAATGGAAATAAATAAATAAATAAAATAAAACTGATTAGCAGTGTTGCCAATTTAGCACTTTTAGTGCTAGATTTAGCACTTTTTAAACTCATTTAGCACCCAAAAATTTAATCTAGCACCTAGCACCCTTTTTAGCATTTTTCAAATGTTTTTTGGTACTTTTTTAGCACATTTTAGGATTTTTGTACATATTCTTGTATGCCAATTTTAATTGTTCTTCTGTAAAAATATGGTTAAAAATTAATTATTAATTAATTATGTACAACAAAAAATTAATGTTTACTGGTTATCTGTAGAAATATCGGTTCGTATTTGATGAGCTTAAGTTACATTTTAAAAGGGCCACTTCCTATGGAAAATGGCACAAAGCTAAACTAAAATCTTATACATTTCCAAAAATTTTACAAATTTTATTCTTTACAAAGGATTTCATTTGTGTCTTCCCTTTAGACTTTTAATTAAAAATTCATTATAATTGTAAACTCAATTTCAAAATATTCACAACTAAAAATTTTTGCGTTACGCATCAACAAACTCGTTTAATGGAACGTTTCTGGAACTAGTTCTTTAATCAATGATTTAAGTTCGAGTTTGCTATCCTCAGATATAGTTCTAGAGAAGTTTTAGAGTTTTTCCAGCGATTTATTATTCAAATTGTTGAGATTGAGATCAATTTTTGGAAACCGTCAATTATAATTAAATTTTCTTACAATAAATTCGAGATATTTTTCTACTGGTTTGAAGTAGTTGTTTTTAAAATATGAACTATGTAAATATTTGTAACAATGGAAATATTGAAAGAAATTATTTCATCAGAACTTTTTGATCACAACATTTTTCGACAAAACTGTTTCGAGAATTAATGGCGATATTATTAGTTGCAATGTCGCAGTTCCAGAATCTGGTTGTTTACTTCCGATCTAAAAAATTCAAAAAAATGTATTGAATAAGCATTTCTAATTATGTATTAAAATCATCCCATAATAAGTGGATTTGGTACGTTTGCGTATTAACGTAAAAACATTATGTAGTTAAAAAATACCAAAAAATAAAGCTATTTTAGAAAAATTGTATGGGAGCCATATAAAAAATTCTCTTTTTGGGATAAAGTAAGAATCGAAAAACTCTAAAACTAATTATTATAAACATTTTGTTCTGTATTAAAATCAACCCATAATAAGTGGAGTTGGTCCATTTGCGTACTAAGCTAAAAATACTATTTATGTAGTTTGTTTTAAAAATTTAAATTTAAATATTTTACAATAAAAAACCTTATTTTTGTTAGCACTTTCTAGCATTTTTTTCAAAACAATCTAGCACTTTTTCGCAATTAGTTTTTGGCAACACTGCTTGTAACCAAACTATAGGTCGCAATTTTGAAGATAATTCAATGAAATTTGGTACATGATCTTCTATTGTTGGACAAAGCCTATTGAAAATGGTTAAGATCGGTCCATTATTTCACCTAGCCCCCATACAACTGAACCCCTGAATAGGGCTTGTAAAGCTTCTAATCAAACTTCAGGTCTCAATTTTGAAGATAATTCAATGAAATTTGGCACATCATCTTCTATGGTACCGGAGACGAAGCCTATTGAAAATGATTGACATTGGTTCCTTATTTCACCTAGCCCCCCTACAACTGAACCCGACGAATAGGGCTTTTAAGTTCACAATTATGTTTAATATACTCGTATCTCGACAAAAAATGCATAACCAAGTTCTACACTAGCCTCGATGACACTCATTTTATAATTATAGGGTCTCATTTGACCTTAGCCCCTATACAAAACCCTTTTCAAAATTTGACTTAAATGTAACAAAACCGATATGTTCATTCAGTTATGAAATATGTGTGTTTACGTGGTTATCGGAAATGTGCCTTATATGGGATTTATGCCCAATTATGTACCGATCCAAAATGCATTTTGCAGAGTGATATATGTATGTATACACAATACATATATATGTTGAATATTATTGCAATATCTTTATTTCAATTAGTTATGTGCATTTAAGTTATTTTCTGAAGTTGACCTTACATGGGAGCTGTGACCAATTACGAGTATCTACTTTAAACACATTCATGATGAATTTTATACCGATAATTTCATTCAGTTATGTAATATGTGCGATTACGTGGTTATCGGAAATGGACCTTATATGGGAGCTATGTCCAAATATGGACCAATCCGAAAAATATTTTGCAAAGTGATTTATGTATACACAAAACATGTTTATGTTGAATATTATTCCAATATCTTTCTTTCTTAATTAGTTATTAGTATTTAAGTATTTTTCGAAAGTGGACCATATATGGGAGCAGTGACCAATAATCGACCTATACAGATCTACGTTGGTAATATGATTTCTGTTCTTATTATATATATATGTGCAAAATTTCGTGGTGATACCGATATTTTTGCCGAAGTTATTAGCGATAAATCTATTTCCGAGAATATGTACCTTTGTATGGGGGCTATGAGAAATTTTGAATCGATTGTTTTGAGTTTGAACAATTTTAATCCCTGGGTAAAGAAAATAAGGTGTGACAAAATTCATTCCATAACCTTTAGTAGTTTCTGAGAAAACTACTCAAGAATTAGGAAACAAAAACTTAATTTTTTTTCGAGGTAGTCTGAAATTTTTACTCATAACTTTTTACGTTGTGGACCGATTTGGCTGATTTTCAATACCAAACTGCTTAGGACAATAGTGAATATTTTCAGTGAATTTGGCTGCTTTATTTTGCTTAGTTTTAAGGTGAAAATGTTTGAGGCAGACAGACGGACATACGGACAGACAGACGGACACAGCTACATCGACTCAGAATTTCATAAGGATCCAGAATATATATACTTTGTTGGATCTCAGATGAATATTTCTTGGTGTTACACACAGAATGACAAACTTATATATACCCTCTATCACCACTTATGGCGGTGGAGGGTATAAAAAAAGATTTCTTATATACACAAAATATCCTTATTTCGATATCTTTATTTAACAATGAAATGTGCGATTTTCTGAAGTGGACAGATATGAACAATTATGAACCGATCCATAAAAAACTTATTTTTATAGCCTTTTTATACACTACACCACCAATAGGCTTAGAATCATTTTCTGAGTCGATTTGGCATACTTTAAAGTGGTGTAGTGTCCATTATTTCCCCTAGCCCCCATACAACTGAACCCTGAATAGGGCTTGTAAAGCTTGTAATCAAACTTCAGGTCTCAATTTTGAAGATAATTCAATGAAATTTGGCAGATCATCTTCATGGTACCGGAGACGAAGCCTATTGAAAATGATTAACATTGGTTCCTTATTTCACCTAGCCGCCCTACAACTAAACCCGACGAATAGGGCTTTTAAGTTCACAATTATGTTTACTATACTCGTACCTCGACAAAAAGCTGCAAAAGCAAGTTCTATACTAGCCTCGATGACTCTCATGAGCAGTGTTGCCAAAAACTAATTGCGAAAAAGAGCTAGATTGTTTTGAAAAAAATGCTAGAAAGTGCTAACAAAAATAAGGTTTTTTATTCTAAAATATTCAAAATTTTAAAATAAACTACATAAATAATATTTTTAGCTTAGTACGCAAATGGACCAACTCCACTTATTATGGCTTGATTTTAATACAGAACAAAATGTTTATAATAATTAGTTTTAGAGTTTTTCGATTCTTACTTTATCCCAAAAAGAGGATTTTATAAATAATAAATAATGTTTTTACATTAATACGCAAACGTACCAAATCCACTTATTATGGGATGATTTTAATACAGAATTAGAAATGCTTATACAATACATTTTTTTGAATTTTTTAGATCGGAAGTAAACAACCAGATTCTGGAACTGCGACATTTCAACTAATAATATCGCCATTAATTCTCGAAACAGTTTTGTCGAAAAATGTTGTGATTAAAAAGTTCTGATGAAATAATTTCTTTCAATATTTCCATTGTTACAAATATTTACGTAGTCCATATTTTAAAAACAACTACTTC